TTACGGTTGAGTATTAGGAATGGGACATTCTGTATATTTATACTACTTATTATAAAAGTATAAAACCTACAAATACAGTGAATTACGGTGACAGACTAAGTTTCGTACATCTATATTTCGTTTTTTTTTTCAGAAAATCGAAATTCTACCATTTAGTGAATCAGACATTTCTGTTTCGTTTAGTATTTCTTTATAATCAGATTATTTTTTAAGTCTCTGGCAAAAAAATCCTACTAATGCGACGCTTTTTCATTACTAATAATAACGAACATAAATTTGCTCTTTTCGCGATTATACTTACTTAGTTTTTTGTTCTCTTTTAAAACATATATAAAACGTAATTAAAATTGTTACTTTCGTGAAAATTAATTTTAGCTCTTTGGGCAAGTTTGTTAAATTTTCGTCCTTCTGTTTTAGGCATTTTTCTATATTTATTTTGAGTGCATTACGCTACCAACACTACCAAGAGAATAATGTCAAATGAAAAATAAAATTAAAAAAAATGTGTAAATGTAGTGAGACCGAAATTCCATCACCCTTAAAATACGATGGATTTCGGAATTGTTTGTGTTTTAAAATCTAAGGGTTCGGTGTAAATAGCTTCATTTAGTTTTTAGATTTTGGATTATAGGCATCGGTAATCAAAGAATAATAAATCATATAAAAAGTGACTCGTTTGGAAGTCACTACACTTTAATGTTAAAAAAAAATGACGTCATCCATTTTTTGGAAGACATTATATTTTAATTAATTTTTATTTCTTGAGATAATTTCATTATGTTGCAAAAATTTCAATGAAACTAATTGAACTGTCTTTGTGATACTCCTTAAAACTTTTTGTTTTAAACATCATTTTTCTCAGACACGGCTAATGAACAACATCAAAAGTAATGAAATGACAGAATATTACCTAAGTCATAAATAGGATGACAATGGCATTTTAAATAAGGTTTATTAAATTAATTATAAAAAGACGTAATCTTAGAGGTTATAATAATTTAATTTAATTTAATTTTGATGGATGCGCAACACTAATTAGGACGTGACGTGACTGCCTTTTCTTCCGTTTCAGGGACTACCTACTATCACAGTTCTCAATTCGAATTAAACCGAAGACAGGTTGACAGGTGACAATTTCTAGTTTGCACTAAAGTGTTGAAAATCTCAGTTAAAGAAACTGCTGATCTGTTTAATTTGATTATAACTTTGCTATAAAAAAATGTCGAAAATTTTGTAGCAATCTGTCCAATGGTTTCGGAAATTATTTATCTAATAAAGTTGCCAACAGACGGCAGACAGAAGGCGAAAAAAATACACTTATGAAACATCGAGAAGCATGAAATTAGCTATTTGTTAAGTGGAGTCGTTTAGTATAGTACTAGCTAATATAGCTTACGTCTAGGAAGTAAATTAACGACATTAAAACCAGCGCTTAATTTGTAAAACTGCCTTTTACTTTTTTTCTGTATGTTTTATTTTAAATGAGAACTTAGCAAATAAAAAGAGTAAAGGAAAAAATTATCGAAGCGGTATTTTTTATTCTACATCGTTACTCGTGGAATTGTGTCAACTCTCGAATGATCGTTATCCCAGAAGATGTGAATTAAATTGTCGGCGAGATCACTAACGTATTCATTACTGTGGTGTGAAGTGCACCAGTGGAGTAAATTCTGTAATAAATCCAGGGCGCGGACATTGCGAACTAAACCATAGGTGTTACAAACCTCAAGGCCGGGCGTTTACGTTGACAATTATTGTTTTCCAAATTTGCCTCATAGCTTACCACCGCCCTTGAAATAAATGTCGAAGCTTTTTCAATTCAAAGTTTTGACATCTGTTATTTTTAATATACACTTTAGTTTTTGATTTATTTTTAAAGGGCGAGGAGATATAAAATAATATAAATGTATTTATTTTCTAAAAAAAATATAAAAAAATAAAATGGAGCTATACGAATACGGACGGAAGTGCGTTCAATAATTTGTGAGATTCATAGTGTACATACCTGAAGAGTTTTACTTCCGTTTCTGACGTTAAATTGTTCAGGATCATTTTTTTTTTTGTAACCTGGAGCACTTTAGTTAAATTTTAAACTGTTATATTATTTTTTAAAGTTTTATATTATTAGAATATGGTGTTTTCCTCTTTTAGAATATTTAAAAAAACTAGGGTTTCCATTAAAATCAAATGTCGACGACATCGATCTATTAAGTTTTAAAAGTACCCTAGAATTTTATTCGTGTAAAAATCAAACCAATTTGTTCAAGTCTGTGTTAAATTTTATTCATCAATTTTTTTTATCGAAACTATGCCAGACTATGTACATGTTTTAAGTTTCATGTTGTGAAAAGAAGTTTACACATATTAAATCAAAAATTGTGATGCTTTTTGTCTATTTTCTGTTAACCAAGCTTAACTGCCAAATACTTATTTCTTCACACGAAATTAAAAACATGTTTTTGAGCATCGTGTTGGTAAAAGAATACAATGTATATTTATAAAAAAAGGCAAAATATAATATATAATAATATATAATATTTAAAATTGTAAATTCTTATATAAATATGGAATTAAACCCCGCCTCTCGATCTGACAACGAATGAAAAATTCATCGCAATTGAGCTTGGGATGGATATGGGTGGGGCCTAATCTTTGGCTTTATTTTTTTCTTTATACATAGTATTCTTTGAACAACACGATACTCAAGAACATGTTTTTAATTTCTCGAGAACAAGAAATAAGGATTTTGCAGTTAAGCTACACCCCTTTGGCTTACGACGATTAAAAAAAATCATCCCAATTGAGATAGAGCGGGTGAGCGGGTCAACATTTTGCCTTCTTTTCTTAGTATGTGTAGACTTATTTCGACAACAAGAAACTTAAAATGTGTCCAAAATGGTAAATTTTGTAGTCAACAACTTGAATCCTCCACTTTTCTTCCACAATCCCTTTAAATACGGCAAAAGCTACTATCAACGGCAACTTGGCAACGGAGTTTGTAAATGATAATTTTCAGTTCTAAAAACAACGCCAGCTTTAGAATTTTCAAATAATTGTAGACTGATTCTTTTTGAGATACATATTACAAGAATCACACAAACAAATGTTTTTATAAAATTAAAACATTAAATATTTTCCTTATATTTTACTACCTTTCTTATCAAAAGTGACCAGAAGTTCTAATGTGAAATGTTATAAATATTAAAGAACATATGACTGGTTACTTTAAATAATCGTACAAGTTTTGATAATGATTTAGAAATTTAAGTATCGCAGTGTTCATAAAATATCATAAAGATACTAATTGACGAGGATCTCGTAGTGTAAGATCAAAAGTGAATTGAATTAATAAAACATGGATGAGGTTTAGATTAAGTTTGGAGACATTTTCTCAAATTTTTGAAAACTCGTTTTGGGTTATATTCTAACAGAGAACTGGAAAAAATGGAAAAAGAAGGAAATACTGAGAGTAGGGGATGTCTCGGAATACCATTTAAGGTTTAAGTACATACAAAATCACAATACAGAATTAATAGGTAACTATTATAGCAGAAATAAATTTTCTGTTGTAACACGTAACCTGGACAGAATTTCACATGCATTTCATTACTGAAATCCTTTTTTAAAACTCAACAACACATTAAGTAATTTGCTTGGTTGCAAGTGAAAAAAATAAAATTTTAATTACCTTCGTATGTAGAAATTTAAATAATAGAATGATCGTTTCAAGTTTCAAAATGCTTTTACAATAATTGTGACTTGAGAATTTCTTAATAAGTGGAATTATGATAAATATGAAATTTTAAAAACGCGTTATTCTTTGCTCTAGAAACATTCGGTCATATGTCATTAAGCCACGATGAAAACAAACAATCGATTAATATTTTAATGTCATGGTTATTCTATTTTTATAACAATTTATATTTGCTTTATAACACAATGACTTACTACCATACTAAATTATGCAAAGCAGCTTTAACGATGCCACATTTCACATTTTACAAATACAATTTTGGTAGATGCGCAAAGAAAGCCTCCAAAAATAGCACATCGATTTTAATACTATTTTAATCTTGAAACACTTCTCATCATTACACTTATTACATTCCTGCAATTTTTCCTTGTTTTTCTCGAACTCGCAAAGCGTCACGTGAATTTATTTTATTTACGGCACGTTTCTACTGTTTTTGGTGGATGCGCTGGGACTCTTATGTTTACTCTAGTTTCTTTTGTCTGATTTTTTTCAGTTTAAGTATTGTTGTGCAAAAAGGTGAAGAAAATAGCTGGGAAAACATTTATGTGTCACTTATTTAAGGTGGAATATATTAAATTGAAACGCATCGATCATATACGTTGACAACAACAAAAGAGAGGAGAAAAGAACAAAGAAAACGTAATTGGTCATAAAATCGATATATAAAATGAGTAAAAGCGAGTAAAACACCACCTTCTTCGACAATGAATAATAGCAGAGTTGAAAAACACGTAAGAAAAATTTGGGGCGTGTTTGTGAAATACGAGTAAATATAATGGATATAAAGGAACAAAAGGGGTACAATGCAAACACAAACAATAAAAATTACTTGAGAACAATAATACGAAAATTGTTACATAGAAATAGCAGGAGCATAAAAGGGGAAACTTGTTTCTTGATGAGCGACTCCATTTCTATAGAATTTGTAATTTTCTTCTGGATTCACAGCAGACAAGTAATTAAGTTACATTGTTCTGTTACATTAATTTTGCACTGATTATGGGAGGGTTTTGATAATTCGATTACGACGTAAATAAACGTTCTGATGTTTGTTTAATCAATGTTAAAAGACAATAAATAGTAAGTCGTTTTATATATATAAGAATTTATGCGATGAGGGTCAGTTTTCTTTGCCAACAGGCTCCAACATGTGTCAAATCATCACATGCACTTGTCTCGAACTAGACGTTTAAGATTGAATCAATACAGAAACCAGCGTCGCGACGCATGCGTCTTCATTAGGAATCGATAGGACGCAGTTAAATGTACACCCCTATGTTAACAGGGTGTCTGGTGGTTGATATTAGTGTTAAAAATTATAAGTGAAACTCAGGTATGACAACATAAACATCTTACATCATTTGCAATAGTATAGCTCCTTCTAGAATAAAAAATAATAAATAAAAGTCAGTTTCTAAAAAAAAATGTCATTCGAAACTGCTTATCTTGTCCTAGTTGAATGTGATAATTTTTTGTGTCAGGTTCAAGAATCAAATGAAAAATTGCAAACAAACAGAGATACGTATTAATCAATCAGTTTTGTTGATTGCAGATTTAGCTCTATGGGTTGTCTGGGAGAGTGCTGGGACATGGGTCCACCTCCCGACAGCATCCTTAGCCTCCCGCCGCCTCCGATACCCGCGTTTTTGCAACACCCTTTACCAGATTTGTTGCTTAATACGACTCCGTGTTCTTCGACCCAACTGTGTGAATCTCTCCCACCGTCGAACAGGATTCCTGATAATGGAGATTATGTGGAAATGTCAAGAAAAGGTAACAGACGAGGGTTGAGTACTCCCACCTCGATAAAAAATTCATTTACGTTTTAAATGTTTGGGTAAATTTTGGAGTGTGGGCGAAGTCTCTTAATTAAGCGATAAGCGGATTTGGAGAGTTAAAATTAAAAAAGGTAGAAAGTTTTCCGGAGACTTTTTGATGATACTAATTGCCTAATTAAGACCTGTGCTTTTCGTTAAAAGTAAATATTAAATATCGACATAAAATCGCTTTAAGTTCTAAGAGAATTTTTAAATGACCACCTACACATTATTTAGAAATGCGGTACAAAATGAATCCTTTTCAAGAAAAAAATAATGCCATTTGGTAATTTCTAAAACAATTAACATTACACATTTTGAATTAATTTTGAGTGGGCTCAAAAGTATAGAGAAATTTATATAAAATTTCGCAAGAGCTATATGTTCAAAACAAATTTGAAAAGTTTTGGTTTCTAAGCCCGGAATGTTTTTACATATAATAATCTATGTTAAAAAAAAGAATATATAAACAGTGTAGTATTTTAATTAGCTCATGAAAAATTTGACGCGATACAATTCCATTTCTTACAAGGTTGTTAAGAATTTTTGATCTTCTGTCTTTCGTTTGGAATTTTTGTTGCTAGTTTGCTTGATATTATTTCTGCCTTTAACACTTTTCAGTTCTTATCGTTGCTGCTTGATAACGTTGTTTAAATCGAAAAAAAAACTGTTGAGCCGTGTTGAAAAGTCCATTAACATACGAAACATATTCGCTAAACGAATGTTGGTTGTGAGACTAGTTGATAGGTGGTACATACTTCTGTATACACCATATTATTCTGTCAGGTGCCAGATCCATTTACCTGTCAGTGAAAAAATTCATTGCAATAAAGGTTCATCTATTCATATTAAGTCAACACATGATAAAAAGTGATTAGTTAAAGGATATGTTGACACTGATTTACTGTAAATTGACGGCAGTAATACCACTCAAAGCTTACAGGCATAGCCAACACTAATTTATGTTATCTTCGATTACACGGTATTTTTTATAAAATGGTTTAACCGTAAATTTGAATGAGATCACTTCTGTACGAAATGTGCAATGTTCTACCGAGACAGCAATAAAGAACACGATCAAAAGCAGCCATAGATTTTTGAAGATTTGTCTTTGACAGAATTTTCATCTTGTCATGTTACCGTCTGTTTGAAAGAATAACTTGAAAATGCAACGATCAAAGACAAACTTTAAAAAATCCATGGTTGTTTTTTATTGCTCTGTCGGTAGTATCAGAACATTGTAACGTCCTGTATCCACAGTAACAATCATCATATCCTACACGATTTTTTCATCAGCATAAGAAAAACATCTGTAGTAATTATGAGAAAAACACCTGTAATAATAATTATTGGTATTTTTTATAATAACCTCAACAACGAAACTTAATAACTTGAAATTAATTATTTAGTAGTAGAAAATTTGATTTCTCTGGAATGATGATTGTTATTTCTGGACATTATTCGATCTATCTGAATATTTTACAAAAAAAGTGTAGTTATTACTCGTATCCAACTGTACGTAATCTTTAACCATTGCTTGTGAGATCATTACTTACTTGGGAAGTACTTTTACAACAGTTTTACTACTTACAATTATTGTTTAGATCGGTTGTTCTAGATTTTTTTTTACAGACAATGATTCCCCTATATTATTGGAGATTATCTACATGGAATTAGTCCCAAAATCCCAAAAATAATAATAAAAAATTTCTTTATGATGTTGATTACGAAAAAAACGTAATTTTATAAATGTAAAATTGGTAACACTGCACGCACCTAATGCGTGATACCCTCGGCTTACTTTTTGATTTCTTAGTAATGATGGTGACTGAAATCCACCTTTTATATTATTTTTTAGGACAATAACCATAACAACCAGTAATCATTAATCGTTGTGCATTATTAATAAAATAACAAGCTGTTACTTTTCCAAAATGAAACATTTAATAAGACATTTCAAAATTCCTGACTTGTACGTATAAGTAAGCTCGTAATGTCCAAATTTTGATCATTTTTTGCAAAAGTTAGTACTTGCTAAGATAAAATTGATTTTGGCAAATGACATACCCTCTAAGAAAAGAGAGAGTGGGTGGGCGGGGCTAGTAGCTGTTAAGATAAGACTGATTTTGGCAAATGAGATCCCTCCAAAAAAATAGAGGGCGGGTGGGCGGGATTAGTACCTTCTAAAATGACATCGATTTCAAATAGAGGGCGGGTGGGTGGGGCTAGTACCTGCTAAGATAAGACTGATTTTAGCAAATGACATATCCTCCAAGAAATTTAATTAAATTATTATAAGAAAAGACACTAAAGCCTCCAAAGCACTTTCAAATTCTTTCCAAACAGGTATACCTAGAACCTCAAGATTGTTTTAAATTTTTCAAAAAAAAAACGGGGTCCCAAAATTAACTCAAAAACAGGTCAGTTGGTCAGAATTTTCCAAAAATAGTCCCCCAAAATTGTTTTAAATAATAAAAAAAAAAAAATCTCTATGGGCTGCCAAAGTAATACACCATGGGTACCCAAGAGTCTCCCCCGAATTAAAAAAAAAATTGCGCCACTCAAGACTTTTTCAAATTCGTAAAAAATGAAACACCAAAAGTTGAAATGATTTTTTCAAGTTCATCCAGCAACAAAACAAAACCAGATTTCTTTAAATTTATCCGAAAATAAAACACCAGGGGACCCAAAAATTAACTGCGAACATTTTAAAGGTAGAGGGTTTTGAAAACTTTGACAATTTTTGATAGATCAAACGTTTTTAACTGTTTACTCGATTTTTGCTGATGTGTACCTTCGCTTTATATCAAGCAAACATTGTTGTCAAATGGAATTTTAAGTATCAAATTATTATTACAAAAATAACGCAACCATATTTTTGCACATTCTAAATGAAATGGAAATTAAACATGGTCATGGGCGAGAGAAATATTAACTAAAAGTTTTATTACTAGTTATTGTGAATGTGGAATGTGTGGCAAAAGAGCCAATTTTAAAATCATTATACCTCCACCAAAATGTGAAAAGGATTTTTTTTTATTATTTTTCCCAGACTCACCAGTTGATTGTTAAGAGCGTAGCGGAGAGTTAATTTGCCATTTTCCAGACACCCGGTATAGCAGATTATTATGATTTTCAAATCAAATGATTAGATAGTCAGAAAAGGTGCTATACATTCCCTACATCTGATTATCTAAATGGTTATTTAATTAATTTTTTGTTGAAAAAAGGACACTCTTAATGCATGTGGTATTTGTTGTACATACATGCATCATCCTTAGCAAGAAAAGCTCTTGTATCTGGAAATTTGTATTTACTACTGTTTGTCATTTTTTTTTACCTAACTTTGGTAGTAGGTATACTGATATCTGAAGATTTTGTTTAGAAAATAAGAATCTGACTTCTTGCGCATAAATTAAAATAGTTACAACACGGAAAATGACGTACATCCTTTTCTTTTCAAAATTTGAAACCATGTAGGTCAAAGTTCGTAAAATATGTAAGTTTATGAACAACAAACGATGTATATACAGGATAGCAATTTAACGTGTAGGTGTGCTAATTTTCGTATTTTTATTGTTTGTTCTGTCTATCGATTTTACACTTAGTTATGGCCTGAATGTTTCGCTTTTGATTTTGTTTCGACACACCTAAATTTTTCTTAAACACCACATTTTAACTGCATTAAGTCTGCTTCTATTCTTTCTTTGAGTTAACCGGGCACTTCTTTTAATCCTTCTATTTTAAGTTGTTTATGATTTTTCTTTTACTGACTTGTTAAATACTTGTTCCACCAATCTTTGTTCCATTTCCTTGTCAGTCTTTCCACTGCTTCCGATGACTGTGCCCAGGTACTTGAAAGCGTTTACTTGTTCCAATATTCCACTTACTTAGATGACTTTATCAGTTCCTCCTGGATATTCACATAGATTTGATTTTCTTCACATGTGTTGACATACTTATCCCTTACATTTTCGCCTTCACCACTATGTCTTCCGCAAACAGCAATTCTTATATTTTCATGTTTCAACCTTGTATTTTTCGATATTTTCCTTCGCATTTTTCATTGCCTCGTCGCATATTAAAGAAAATAATGGACGGAGAGCTGTCTTAAGCTTATATTCGTCCTAAATTTGGTCTATTCTTTATTCAACGTTGTTATCAAGTACATATTGCCTTTGTTTTGATTATATCCGTGTGGGTTGAATTTACTGCTCTTCTCTTGAGACAGTTCCAGACATCCTGCCTTTTGATTTTGTTGAATGTTGTTTTCAAGTCCACCAAACAAGTGTGCAGTTCTTTTTCCTTTTTTATTACCTTTTCTGTTTCAACATAAATTCCTTTTCAAAATCCATATTGTGTTTGTTCTATTCTATTCTCCATTATTCTCTCTTCAATTACTTTTATTAGTATCTTATCATTGAACATCTAATTACTCCACCAATATTAGACATACACACAAAATTTTAAAACCTGTGAAAAATAAAAAATTTGGCTTTACACTGCGATTGTCAACAAAGTGGAATTCTACGTTGGGTTTTTTTAATGGTGGAATATGTTCAAATGCAAAGTGGTGAACCCCAAGGTTGGAAAAGTGCCCCTACATCAAAATGCAAAATACGGAGGGAAAAACTGCTAATTAGTGAACTTTATTTCCCAGCTCCAAAAACCTTTCCCAGCTTTCAAAAATGAAATCGTATGTTACAAATCGATACACATAATATTTAATATCACAAATTTAAACACACAAAGAGAAAATAAATCGTTTTTAAAATAACTGGATCTAAATAAACGTTATTATGATAGTGTGGCGGTTAATTTAAATTAGGGTAGTTGAGAAATCTGTCTGTCACCTCTGCTCTAAAAAGCTACCACATATTGTACGCTCTACCCGGTCTTCACAAAATTGCCAGCTATTTAACCAAGCACGCACACGCGGGTCTACCCATCATGTTTTCAACTTAACACTTTTATTAGGACAAAACTGACATGAGAGAAAATCGTCAGCTTTAACTAGAAAAAATCAGTGTCGATTAAATTTCAAATCTTATCTTTCTCGAATTTCTAAATTTATAACGATAACTGAATGAGTATTAGAATTAAAAGAAACGAAACAAGCAACATTTAATAAACGCCACACTCTATCAAGAATTTCAAACAACAAAGGATTTACATGAGATTAAATTAAGCATTAATTCTAGTTATGGATTCAATTAAATATCTTCACAAAGATCACATCGTCGTGGACCAGAAGCAGATCCCGCATCACATAAACAAAGCACACATGAAATAAACACAACAGACACAAATTAAATATACTATGTATTATAAGTGACAAAAGTAAAAAACACCAATCGTGATTTTGTAAGAAAATTTTATACAGAAGCTAAGGATTGTCAGAATAAGAATTGATTAGAATTTCAGTATTACCGGTCCCGTAGTTTTAAGAAATATTTTTGAGCTAATGATGTTATCAACACGATTCTGGGGTATTTCATCCTGTACCACCTATACTTGGTGCTGAAATCCTTCCAAAGACTCTGAAGAGCGGAGTAAATTGGGTAGCCTTCTACCTATCACATCCTAAACATTTTCGATTAGGGATATGTCAGAAAATTTTGGAGGGCAAAGGAGAAAATTGATTTCAACTTCTTCAAAGTGATCTAGAGTGACCCTAGTGATGCGTGGTTGGGCATTGATTTGTTGAAAAACAGCATTTTGAAGGACGTGAAGATCTGGAAGAAGAAGGGCCTCTACATTGTCCACAATGTATTGCCGTGGATTTATAGTTCCTCTAACGAAGATCAGAGTGATCCACTGCCGTATCCAATCACCAGTTCGTTACACATGTCGCTCAACGAAAACTGTGGATGTCGTCGTTTTCCACGCCTTCGCCTTACGCTTATCTGACCATCGCTCATGCCCAAACAAAATCAGGATTCGTCAGTAAAGACGATCTGATGCCATTCATCATTACAGCCTAACCTTTCTGGACACCACTTTCAAAATTTCATTACAAAATTATAATTCCTTCATTGTGTTCTTTTACTTTTGTTACTCAGTATACAGCGTGTTATTGAAAGGTACGTACAAAAAACAATTTGTCTCGAAGTATGGGTGCTAAAAGTAAAAAAAAGTTCAGGTAAAAGTGTTCTCCTTTTAGAGATAAAAATTATTAAAATTTATGTCCAAATTCGTTGTAAGCCACTGATAAAAAGATCATCTTTCGATTCTATAGCTACATTTAGTCTTGACAAAAGTTTTATTGTTACAGTTGCTAGGATTTACTAAAATAAATTAATTTTACCTGTTTATTCTTCAGTAGCGTCTAAAAAGGTTGGATAAGGGTCAATTTTCCCCTTATAATTTTGATAACACAAAAATAAGTTTTTCAGACTTCTTAGACTTCGCGAATAACTGTCAATTTTTTTGTACGTACCTTTTAATAACACCCTGTATATACCTACAACCAAAATCAAAATAAAATGGTTTCGAAAACGTTTCGCCCTAAGGCGGCAACTTTCAAAATGAGAGTTCAAATTTTAAGCCGTAAGAGGTTATTAAACCCGCAAGAAAATATTCCCTCTGTTTTTGAGTCCTCGACGATATTAATTTAACTGTTGAAAATTTTCAAGATCCATTGTCTTATTCCATTTACACCTACATACGAGTGTATATTATATTATTAAGATATTATATTTATGTATTTGATCTGTTTTTCCTGAGAGTGGTCAATGTTTTTTTTTATCACTGGCACAATAAAACAAAACGAAGATAAACGAACAACTGTATTTTTGATTAGTTATATTCACTATAAATCAGTTTAAACATATTAAATCTTTTTCTACTGTTTACCATGCATACTATACTAAAGTATATCAAACATATTCGTTTGTATTTAAACAATCTTTAAAAAAATTCCCAGACATTGAGACGTGGTCAGTAACTACCATCGACGACACATGGCTTCTCGTGCTCGTAGCATCATCCATCGGCGTTCTTCTCCTCGGAGCCCTCCTAGCAATGTTTCTTCTGAAATGCAGAGAGTAAGCAACCCCACCCTATCTAACTAACTTTTAAACAAATTCTCTTTTCAACTTTCCAGAATGAACATGTTCGACGGCAACGAATGCTCACTCTCCCGCGACCACCGTCAGATCAAGAACCATGAACCCCGTGAATGTACTTCGGTGTCCAACCTCAACGGCAACAAACTGGTCCACCCGTCCGAGACCGTAATGTACCACGGTGGGGGCAACGTCCAGGACAACCGTATGGTATGGGCGGCCCTGACGCCCCATGGCACTCAGCACTTCATTTCAGAGAATTACCCTGGCGACCTCATCGACTATGGCGAGGCAGACGACCACTACGAAACCGTTGACAACCTCAACATTCAGCCGGTGCTATCGCACCCCTCATACAACCCGTATAAAGGTTTGACCTTGAAATTGGTCCGCGAGAAATCCAGTTTTGATAATTCTGGCTTCGTAGATTATGACTACGAAGAGCCGACGCCTTTGATAGAGAGTTACCAGTTAAACGATATGGAGAACAGGGATGGGCAGTACCAGGTTTTGGGCAACACTGATATGAGATGCGCTAGTCTGGGTTATGCCGGGAACACGCTCAGAAGGGGAGTTCCTATCAGACCCAGGGTGTCTTCGCCCACGCGAATTGAGAACCCCAATCTCCCCCCGCTTAACTTGTACCCTCACAAAGGTAACACTTTGAAGAGGAACACAATGAGTTATCGAAATGTCGATACTGGTACGTTGCCCAAATATGGGTGTTAATGGTAGCTTTAATAAGGAGATTTTTATTACCCCAATAAGATGTGCTATGTTTCACCCCTCACGTACTCAAGCGATTTGTATATTATTCTTAGATGTACTTTACTTTGTCTACTCTCAATGTTAATTGTTTGTTCGTTTTAATGGGCCAGGCAAACTCATCGAAGTTCAATAAAGCATTTGTTAATGTATGGCTATTTTTTATTAAAATACCTACAAATTTGTGGTGTAGCAAAGAAACAGTATACCAAATCTGTCACAAAATGGTAACGCGTTTGTCAGCCAATTTATATTATTAATATTTAAGATATTTGAAAACTAACATCTTGGACTGAGTAGGCTCCTGCCTAGAATGCAAAATATTAATAAAAATGTCTTCAAAACTACTACCTACATAACAAACAAACGAAAAATGTAATCTTTTCTTCTTCTAGAAGATTTAATCTAAGAATTTTATTCACTTCCAGTTTCATACACAATCAAATCACTAGATTTTGTAGATTTTTCATTCTGTAATTCATTTTCTGTATACTTACATAACAGGTTTGAAAGAAGCTTGACAAATCAGTTGAGATGAAGGCCAGAGTTTCCTCCACTTCATTAAACAGCACTGAGAAAACTTATTTTTCTGATTTAAATTATTTTAATGAGTCTATTATCTTTATTTATTTAATCTTTGTGATATTTGTTTTTTTTTTTGTTGAATAGAAGGTATCCCAACGGTTTGACGAAACAATTTTTGTATAAAAAAAGTTTATGTATAGATAAGCTTCAAACATTCTTCAATTTCTTTTTAAGTTTGTCAAGGCAAGGTATACTGAGTTTTGTGCAAAATTCCAGATATCAATTTTCAAATATGGTGGAGTTGACAATTTTTATATCCGACCATTTTTTACACAAAAATGCAAATAATAATTATGTTAATCAAAAAACCTTTGTGTATAATATATTTTTTCTTTTTTAATAAGAAATTTAAATTTAAAAAAATATATTGGGTGTTACGTTAAAGAAAATGCAACTATGGTATGTAGTTTTTATATGAAACATCCTGTATATTAAAAAATGAAATTTTGTAAAAATGAAAGAATGCGGTTAACAAACCATTGGCGCACTCTGTATATTTTTTACTACAATTTGATTTCATAAATTTTCTGTTTTTCCTTTGAACCTACGTATTTTTCTTTTTGCGAACAAGGATTTATGAATTCGGTTCAGTAGTGTCACTTCGAATTTTGTGAAAAGTTGTTCTCACCTTCGTTTGAATGAATAAGTAAATGCAATTGTGGTCTAATAATAATTTCGCTGATACTCCTGTATATTTTTTAACTGGAAGATTGAAAACTAATTAAAAAAAAAAACACAGGTTAAAAAAACCCAAAACCATGTTGTGCAAGTAAAAATTCCCTCATGGAGGTCATTAACACTTTTGAAAATCAGTCTTATTTATTAGTAAACATTTGATAAGTGGTTATAATGAATTAAGATTTGAAAGGTTTATAATCAAGAAGGAATGTCGGGGCAGTCATTGTCGGGACAGGAGCTATCAATACACTCAATGAACCAATATTTCGAGAGAAACGTATAGTTATAAACAAATAATGGTTAAAAATATGGTATCAAAGCGGGTCAACGTTTTAAGACATAAATGTTAGCAACATGCAACAATGAATTAATTGATTTAATGACAATTATATTATTTTCAACGAGAATTATTATTAGGAAGACATGCACTACAAGCACGCTAACCGTTGTTATCAGCCAATTTCAAGAAACCCATTACAAACATTGATAAACGATGTAAACAAGTCTTTCCAATTATGTGACCACTCTTAAACTTTTGTCTGAACTTGAAAGTTTCGTACTGAATTGTGCCAAAAATATGTTATTCTTCACAAGTTCTTAAGCCAAGAAACTGCCTCGATTATTTATGCACTTACTTTCTGATTTTCGAATTCTTAGCTCGAGTAAAACAATCCACTTTGTAAAACAACAAGTTATTAATTTCGTCTGATTCCTACATAGTTTTCTTTTTTCGCACATAGTTTGATAATCTTACAGAATCGTTTCTATTTTCGTAAGCAATTTTCATGAGTCGATTCAAAAAGAGTTTGAAAGAAGGCAACATACCGCACAGAAAATTGCAGTAGGTAATGAAAAATGCAACAAAAATTGTAGAAAAGTTGTTACGATGGGTTGGAAATCTTCAAAGGTGATCGTATAATATTTTGTTGATATAATTATTGATATTTCTGCTAAAATGTACGTCAAGGTTAGAAATATTTTAACAGACAAAATTAAAGATATAAAAAAGCATGCTATTTTCAAGTTTTTCATTTCAAGTTCAATTTCATTTACAAAATTTTGAGACAACGAACATTTTTGAAAGAAATGAACAGATAAGTATCTAAAAATTCTTGTGATAATGATGACGCCAAATTCATCAAGACATTCTAACAATTCTGAACAAACGCAACATCTTCACATTGGTCGTAAACGGTACAGAAATAATGAAATCTGATTGTTGGTACATGTTTCGAAGAAAGCTAATCCCATGTTTCGCTCTGTGTTTTCCAAACAATATGTACAAAATATTCGTAAGGCCTATATTAGAGTCTGGATTACCATTTGACAAATATACATACTTATATTGTAGGTACTGTTAGACTCAATTCGCATAAGACATCCTAAATGGTATGATAAAAAAAGTGTTAAAATTGTCAAAAATTACCTATTTTAGAATTGTTTACAATTTGTTTCTTTGCGGACTTTTTTAAAACTACATTTAAATAATTGCATAATTATAAAAGAGGCATGAAATCCTTTTTAAACGAATTATTAGTAGACATGTCGATGAAACAGCACAATGTTGCAGTAATCATTACAAGTATGTAACATCATGTTAAAATTATTTTTGGTCATCGTAGTGATAAAAAGTATTGGCACATAAAATTCAATTAAACTGCAAGAATGTTTAACCTCTTGAAGTAGCACTAACAGTGTACTTTACCATCAAAACATTTTCGTTGAATTTTCGGAGTAATTCTGTGACGTGTAAAACGGTCCTAAGAGCTAATTACCTACTTCATAAGAAATGTCCATCAAGAAAGAGGGTAAAAGAACTTAAAATTCATATAAAATAATAAGTCTGTATTTAAAGATGAGTATTTGTTGTGAGTGAGATAATAGTATACTACTAATCAATGAGCGGGTAATGATGAAGTTTACACACGAGCCGAATGGTGAGTGTGTCATTCACCTGAATGAATCGTCGCCATTACCCGCGAGTAGAATGCTATACCTATTTTTTCTACGACGATTTAATAACACATCAAATTGACAAAAAATTTCTAAAGTCCGATTTTGCAACGCTCCCGCTGTCTTATTATCGAATCACAATCGCGGTGGTTTATCGCAGCGCAATCTGCGACCTCCTAACTTGCGTCCCATGTTTCCGTGGTCATGCAGTTAATCGTGTAGTTTGAGACTTCGAACGGAAATGATTGGCCACACCCCTTCGTGAGTCATAAATAATTACTCACTGGTAAGAACCAATAGGAAGCTTTCAAAATTATTAGACTCACTGGTGTCGTCCACCGTGAGGAATAAATGCCTTTGCCAACTAAAAACTGTTTAATAATGCATGTATTATTCAACAGGAGTAGAAAAAATATATTGCTGAAACATTTTCACATCCTAATAGTATATAATCGTTAAGCGAATATTAAAAATTTATATAATTGGTTCTCATATTTGGGATACCAGAATGGACATTCCTTATTCTCTAGTATTAGGTAGGTAAACGAGACGTTGTTTATTGATTTTCATGACAACTGAAATATTCAAAATAAATCGTTCGCTAGTTCTTAGGCAACACCCTCTACCTTAAATAGCTGATGAGTGTTTTAAACAGATTCCCTTCGCAGTCTTTCGTCGTTAACGTTTTAGCTTCAGAATTTGAAAACTCTTAGAGAATTTTGGAAAAACGAGACCGGGCTCTAACCATCAAACCTTAATGATAAGCCTCGTGTTGGCAACAACAAATGGTAGAATCCGCCGATTTAATATTTTTTTTTACGTTCATAAATACTTAACTATCGTTTTTTCCAAACTTTTGAAGCTTCTTTTTTCCTATCATTGGGAATAAAATGATTTTCTTTATTCAAATTTGCAGCTTCAATACACACTTATCAAAATATACGGAAACGTGAAGCGGAATGAGGTAGCTAACGTAGAGCTATCATATAATTTGATTTTTAAAGTAAGACTGGAGGAATAATCTTCTATTTAACTTCTTTGGAAACTTATAAAAAAATAACACGACTTCGTGAAAAAGGCTTGAAAAAAAAACATTTTTCTCGTTCCGCCCCACCCGTGGGGCAGAATAGCATGATTCACAAATAAGGACCGAATCTACATCATCACTATCCAAGCTAGCACATGACATGTGCTAGCCCATCTTTTGCACTGAAGACAAGAGCATCACCCTTCGATTAAAGTAAGTGAGTAAAGTTCATAGTAATAGAGACAATCATCATTATATTTTTATTTATCTTTCCTTTCCCTTTCCCATTACTTGTTTCTTAACGTTCTTATCTTATCTGTTATCTCTTCCATTCTTATTTGCGGGATATAAATAGGTACATTACTGTGATTGGCTATTTCGAAATCCCATCCCGCCCCATTATCCCGTTCCGTCCTACGTTCCCCTAGAAGAAAACGCCAACACCCATTTTACGGTTGTAGTAAGAGAATCGAGTGAACTAAAATTCTTTGAAGCATATTTTTAAAATACGAAAATATTCAAGAACAAGTGTATAAAATACATATTTTTTTAATAATTGAGCAACATGAATAATGGTACAAAAAAACTTTCACTTTAAAGATTCTTTGTTGTAAAGAATATATACATATTTTATCCATTATGTAGGATCACATTTTGTAAATAGCAACCAATAAAGCCTGGATTTTAGGCAAAACAGACATATTTGTAGGCATGTTAATGAAGCTTGGATATAAATAACTGTTGAGTGAGAGAGAGAGAGAGTATTTTTTTTTTTTTGATAAACTGTCAAAGTGTTTATAGATGCCTAAAATTGTGATTATTAGAATGTGGATTTTTTTTCTTGCGAAACTATTTTCACACTGTTTTGTTGATGTCGTTTTCTTGAAGACCCTACAAGATCAAGACGGTATGAGAATTTCGTGTCATCCTATCCATTCCTTTATTTCATTCATTAAGTGTGAGTGCTGACATGATCTTGTATTTCTGAACAAATCAAAAATATGTACAACTTAAGTGCTTAACCTGCTTAAACAGTTTTACAAGATACAAAATACCACTGTGTGTGCTTGTATGCAATTAATAACGAGTTATATCAAATTAAATCTGATCGCTAATTTTTTTGCACAACTCGTGTAAAATTGGTAAGCTGAGAAAAGTGAATATTGTTTAGTAGTTTATATGTGAAAAAAAGGACTTACGCCAACAAGAAGAAACATTCCCATAAAAAGATGGTCCCAAAATACCATTTAGACAAATGGCTAAACTAGTGATGGAGAATGTAAGCTAAGGAAGTATTGAAATCGAGTTCATCGGGCTTTTTCGCTACTTTTATGTTTTCTCGCCGTTTCATGGTCGTTAGAATACAAAAACATCCCGCATTTCCGTCTGTCCGTCTGCCCTCTACTGTGTGTCCGCATCTGTGTCGATTTTTATTAGATACATAATCTTCTAAACTACTGGACTAATTGTTGTCAAATTTTGTATGTGCATTAGGAATATTGTGTAGATGATAAACCGCTGACCAAAATTTGTCTAATCATCCTCATCACCAATGCGATGACGGCATCTCCAAAATTTACAAAAGTAAGTGTTATTTAAATTTTATAAAATAACATACTCCTCCACTTGTAGTTTATGAATTCGTGTTAAGTGTTTACCCCAAGTATCCAGATTTTTGTAAAAAAAATCAAATTGCAAATTAGAATGTTCTGAAACTAAACGTTTTAAGGTTGTCGGAAATATGGGAAATCGATGATCAAAATTTAACCGTTTACGATTCCCCCTCCCCCCCAAACTGATGACGTCATCTCAAAATTTTGCCAAATAAATCCTATCTAAAGTACGCAAAATATGATGAATATATACTTGTAATTTATGATTCGTTTGATATTTTTTTATAATTATTTATACAGTGTGACTTAAAAAATTAATGAATCAGTCAATCTATTATATTGATGAAATCAGAAATTACAAAACCGATTGCTTTGAAATCTTTCAGATGTTTTAAAGTTGTCGTAAGACGGTAAATTTGTAATCAAAATGTATCTGTTTATCCCCTTCAAAAAATTAATGACGTTGTATCAAAATTTTGCTGAATATATCCTACCGAAAATATATAAAATATGATAAGTCTATACTTGCGATTTATCATTACATTAATATTTTTTACAAGTACTTAACAAAGTGACGCAGTGAGTATGAGTCAATTTATTGTAGTCATTAAAACAGGAACAGCTCACTCCATTTCCCGAAAATTTGAAAATACAGTGCTGTTATTATTAGTAGTACACTGGATCTATCCAAATTGATAGAACTGTCCTTGCAAAAATGTTGATACGTCATTATAGAATTTTGTAAAGGAGAAACTCATTTGAAACATACGCGTAGCACGATTCTTTACATTTACTTTAACACGCCATGCATATCTTTATTTTTAACTTATAAAAAATAAAATTCGTAGAATCTTTTTTTCTCTCTTTGTGCTCGATATAATCAGGATTGAGAACAAATAGTCATCTACGTTTCCTGGGATTGACAAGTTCTGGAAGAACGCATCCATTACAAAATTTTTGGAGTTTTGTAACGATTTTTTACAAAATTCTTCATCATATAATAAATAAACCACATTTCTCTATGTTTACATCCATTTGTTTCTCAATAACGTCTTCTTCGTGTCGTTTGTCCTAATTTACTGTCGGTGTGTTTATGGAGTTAATTTTGTTCAATATTAAGCAGCAGTTTTTTCAAACATGGAAGCTCCTATGTTTTTCCTTCTTTCTTCTGTCCACTCACTTGAATCACTTGGTCTATCGTGCCTTGCGTAGTTAACACTAGTTGTTTCTCATTTAGGTACAACAAGCTTTTTAAAGAATATGTTTTATGTGTTATTGTACCAGATCTAGTGACATATCAGCTTTGATGGGGAAGAATCTTCTTAATCACAACATACCTAATTGGTCATTTAACTATACCTAATCCCTTGATGTATGACGCATATATAAGCTCTTTAGGCATAGACTTACTTGCTCCCATGCCCTACAAACCAGAAAATTACGCAACTTGTAAAATATTTCCGAATCTGTTTTTTTGGCATGCGATTTAAAGTCTATTTATTGCACGATTTTGATTTTTCAAAAACAAATCTACTTCAGAGTAAATTTATTACAGATGCCTGTACGTAAAATTTTGAAATTTTCCTTATAAGTTATAATAGAAACACTCAAAATTTTACGAATTGTAATGGTTAGAAAGTACGTGTTTAAATCTAGTTTTTTCAAAAAACTAAAACTCAGGGCTATAAACTTTTTCCATATATTCTATCAGTGAAAAATTGTTGTGATTGGTCCAAGGGTTTTTCGTAAAACACGTACCCCGTTTTACATTATTTTCCCTACCTATACCGAAATGTACTTCCCCCTGCCACGAAATCACGAAAAAAAAATTGTAAAACTAGAAACAGTAGGTTTGTCTCTAACAGCTTCAGTGGAAATACTCAGAAGCCTCCATAATTCTATAAAAAATACTCTAGGTGGCGTGGTCGCGTCTGGGCTACAATTTAATAATTTTGGGAAATTTGTTAAATAATTTTAATAAATTTCGCAAAAAATGTCAGAGGGGAAAATGTAAGCAGTTTTGATTATACAGTCAACGACAATATACATATTGTATGAGTTTGCTCCTATCACGTCATGTGGCGTGATAGTAGCCATTTAATTTGAAAACAGACAAAGTTCTACAATGAAAATTCTAGAGGCATATTTAGAATGCAATATAAACAATACAGCCTGGACAAGGAATTTTGTGTTGCGTAAAAATGCTTAATTTCTGATTTTAAGAGAATATTTTTAATACTTTCAGAACTATTTTAGTCGTTTATTATAAAATTTTAACCGGCTAATATCCCGGCCTTGGCTAACATATATGCATATATGTACCTTAAGTTTCAAATTAGATTTTTTGGAAACATAAGTGTGTAGACAGTGGCCATAGACTTTTCATATCAGTATCTTCAAAAGGTGATATCTCTTTCGAAAACTGAAACGTGACAAAAGCATGGAGGTCATGCACTACTGACCCCTCGTCTCTATCGCGTCTACTTTTTTCCGATATATAGCTACCAATTCATACATTTGCCAACGTTCCCGGTTTTATTTAGCTGCGCCACGATCACGCCAAATCCTGTTCACGTAACTCATTCTTACTTATAGGTAGTAGTAGTAAAAATAGTATTGGGTGTATGTACATAATTACTGAGGTACATACATCGTAATCAACCACCTCCACGCCTATAACCCGATACTCTAGCGTTTATCAGTAAAAGCAGCGCGCAAGCGCTGCCAAGACGTCGCTCGGTAATTCACGGTTCCACGCCACAGCACGCGCACCAGGTCAGACTCTATCCTGATCTAGCTGATGTCGTCCACGTGAGAGCAACCTCTTGCATAGCACGCGCTCATGTGTCAAGTGCCTTCCCGCTGCTGAAGATGGTCGAAGACGTCGGTACGAACTTACTCAACAAACCTACGAAGACCATCCTCAATGGATCGGCCAAGAAGGACCTGGAAGTCGCTTACGAAGGCGGCATGGAGCCGCCGGACGGCGGCACCAGGGCCTGGTTGGTGATGGTGGGCTCGTTTTTCTGCAACGGCATCCTGTTTGGGGTCATCAACTCCTACAGCGTGCTATACGCCGAGTTCCATGACATCCTCAAGAACAAGGGCTCGACTAATCCATCCGGGGAAGCAGGTGAGGATATCCGAAGAAGGGATATTTTTAGAGCTACTGAGGCGTTGTGCACTAAAATGGTGTTGTATGTGCACGTGTTGCGGTTGCATTGTGCTGTTAATTGAGACGGGTTTAGTTTATTTTTGATAAATTTTTGTTGGAGGTATGGCAACCTTAGCGGGCTTCTGGGTATTGGTTGATTGAAACTGATACATCTATTTTTAATTTGTGAATCACTTTCATTAGCATTCTTCTAACAATGCGGGCCGTTGTGTGACAAAATTCGAGTCTAGACAGTCACTCTTTTTTTATTTTGTCTGGGTGGGTATTATTAGAAAAGGTGCTGATGAAATGGGTCAGCTGGAGGAAATTAGAAGGCAGGTGATGCAATCCAATGGGGTTTATTGAAAGCAATTAAAAAACGAACACGAATTTTAATCGTTTTCGTTGAAATAGGACGTGATAAGCCCTAACAGGAAATCCACTGTCGCATAAGAGTATGAATGGGTTGTATACTGAAATTAATTGATAAGAGTTACGCTTGCACAAGGAATCGTGAAATACTGAGGCCAAATGTAGTGCCAACCGGAAGACTAAAACCTCAGCAAATGCGGACCATTGTTGCAGTTCAAGGCCTTGGCTTGTATTCGTACATTTCACTCACAAAATTTAAATAATATGAATTGTTAATAGACAAAGTGCAAATATGATAACATAAATATACGTGGTTATAAATGTACAATCTGTCTGCTGCCCTGAGAACAAGATTACGTTAATATTTACATATTAAAGATCAATTTTTATCAGATCATTTGTTGTAATATGAGCGAAGGTAGGCATTATTTCTTGACGTAACGGTTGTTCCAAGCACAATGTACACAATATACACTCCTCTTTTTTTTAATTCCTTTATTATAAAAAATCGTAAAAAATTCTTACGTTTGGCAACGAGTTATGACTTAAGAAAAAAAGCTAAATTAGACGCAGAAACCTGATCAATCTGTTAATAGACAACGTAAGCGAAGTCACAGCTTTATTCAACTACTAACAGAAATGATAACATCACACAAAGAAAATGTGACTTACACCACTGCAACTTTAACCCGTCCATTTATACAGAGATAAACTTTTTTAATATGGAATTACTTAGAAGCATAAATATTCGTAATAAAATTATTTAGGTAAACATTTACAAAAATACACCTGTTTTGCATAAATAAAATATTCGTTGAAGGTTATTTAGACCAAAGTTCCCACGCCCCTGAAGTATCCAACAAATCCCGCTTGTTCGAAAAATTGTAAAATTTGATTGTGTGACATTTAATTTTTTTGTGAAAACCTCTTTAAATTAAAAAACATGTCGATGAGGATGGCATTCGAACTCACGCGCGGGGGAGTCAGGTTAGTTGGTCACGTACTTTAACGCTGTGTTAAAAATTTAATCGCGATCAATAAAACGTCTAAAAACATGAAAGTAGCCATTCGCGAGATGGATACAATTGCTAGCACATGGTCGAGAAGAAAATTGGATTTTGCGAGTTTACTTTTTACTTCCCGAGCGTAAACAAAGGAAGTATTGTAATCGAGTCCGTCGGCCGACTCTCTACTTTTACGTTTTCTCGATCTTTCATGACCCCTAGAAGACGAAGAAATAGGTCTCCCATTTCCGTCTGTCTGTCCGTCTGTCCGTCCGTCTGTCCGTCTGTCCGTCTGTCCGTCTGTTGTCACGGATTTTTATTAGACAGATAATCTCCGAAAGTACTCGACCGATTGTTGTGAAATTTTGTACTTATATTAAGAATATCATGTAGATGGTAAAACGCTAACCAAAATTTGTCGAATCATCCCCACCACTAAAGCGATGACGTCACTTCAAAATTGTACATAGTAAATGGGTTTTCAATTGTATAAAATAACATAGTCCTACACATGTAGTTTACAACTCTGAATCGACTTTTCACCCGAAACGTCCAGATTTTTGGAAAAAAAATCAAAATTATAAAACAACATTTTGAAATTTAATTTTTAATCTGCTAACCAGAATGCTTTGAAATGTTGCAGATGTTTTAAGGCTATAAAGAGTATCATAAATCTTTAGTCAAAAAATATTTGCTTACCCCCTCCAAAAACTTGATGACGTCAGCTCAAAAGTTTGTGGAATAAATCATATCTAAAATGTACAAAATATGATGAGTCTGTACTTGTGATCTATCACTCCATTCATATTTTTTGGATTTGCATATACAGGGTGACTCAAAAAAATTAATGAATGCGTAAATATATTTTATTGATTTAATCAGGAACTACAAAACCGAATGCTCTGAAATCTTGCAGATGTTTTAAGGTCATAAAGAGCATAATAAATGTTTAGTCAAAATATATTTGCTTATCCCCTCCAAAAACTTGATGACGTCAGCTCGAAAGTTTGCCGAATAAATCTTATCTAAACTGTACAAAATATGATGAGTCTGTACTTGTAATTTATCACTCCATTCATATTTTTTGGATTTGCATATACAGGGTGACTCAAAAAAATTAATGAATGCGTAAATTTATTTTTTCGATTTAATCATGAACTGCAAAACCGAATGCTTTGAAATCTTGCAGATGTTTTAAGGTTATAAAGAGCATAATAAATGTTTAGTCAAAATACATTTGCTTATCCCCTCCAAAAAATTGATGACGTCAGCTCGAAAGTTTGCCGAATAAATCATATCTAAAATGTACAAAATATGATGAGTCTGTACTTGTGATCTATCACTCCATTCATATTTTTTGGATTTGCATATACAGGGTGACTCAAAAAAATTAATGAATGCGTAAATTTATTTTACTGATTTACTCAGAAACAACAAAACCGAATTCTTTGAAATCCACTGCGAAAAAAAAAACATAATAGGCATGCAGTCGTCACATTTCCGACAGCGAGGGAAGTACTGTCGAAACTCTTTAGACCAATTTTTTTTGTTATAACCCTCATTTATTAAAATAAAGATATCTGGGGTTTATTACACTGCAAGTATGCATATGTTTCAAGTGAGTTTTTTTAATAAAAAAAAACTTGTGATGACTGTAATATTAGTAACAACTACAGTACCGTATTCTCAATATTTCGGGAAAATGAGGTACGTCGTTTGTAATTTAATCAATAAAATAATCTAATTCATTATTTTTTTAGTCACCGTGTATAAACAATGCTAAAAAATGTGAATTCGTTGATACACGACAACTATGCGCTCAGAATATTTTGTTCATTTTGAGATGACGTCAAGTTTTTGAAGAAGATGAATAGATATTTTTATTAGCGATTTACCAGGCCTACTTACGATACTCTGATTTTTTCTTTTTTTCAAAAATCTGGATGTCTCAAGAAAAAAATAAGGGCCCATTCATAAACCTCAGGTAGAGAAATGTTTTATTTTATAAAATTTAAATAGGATTTACGTTACAAAATTTTGAGATGACTTTATTAGATTGTTGATGAGGTGGATCAGATAAATTTTGGTTAGCATTTTATCATCTACTCGATATTCCTAAAATACGTCTAAAATTTCACAGTAGTTCATCCAGCAGTTTCGGAGATTATCTGTTTCATAAAAACGACAGACAAACATAAATGGGAGACCTACTTTTTATTATACTCGAGAAACTAGCTGTTCACCGGATGGACTCTGGTACTTCTATAGCTTATATTCAGGAAATTGTAAAGTAGTAACAAAAAGAAAAAATAAAATTCATTTCTGTGTAGTTTCTGCTATACAGGCTGTTTCTTTATATGTACAACTCTGGTCTTTTAAATTCTGAGAATGGAATGAAAACCTTATGTTTTTCAAGCACATATAGGTATGTATGTTGTAACTAAAGAAAGAAAATGATAATATTATTACATATACAAGTTGAATATCGTATTTACTTTTGAAAGAATCACCTACCATAGCTACAGTCTTTTAAGTGTTGTGTAACTTTGTTTAGTCTGGTAAAGTATATTATGTTGTATATATTTTCAAGTTTTATTTCATTTTTACTGCAATACACTAATAAGTAGTATCTTGTGAAAGTTAACATCTGTTAAAATGAACCTGCGGCACCCATAAATAATGGTTTAAAGTTGTAATAGAGTATTTGTTTTGGTGTTTTCAAAGAATATGAAAAACGGACCTGATCCGGATCGAGTTGTTGAAAAATGTTTTACAGTTTTTTTTTTCGTTTCTGTTAGGGATTACTCAAGGCTTTTGTAACTAATTGTTCTGGTGTTTTTTCTAAAATTTGCTCCCCAATTTCAAAGATACAAGTACTTAATTACATTAATTTATGTTTAGTTCATTGACTCTGAACTACGTAAGTTTTCAAAACGAAGAAATAAAGTGGATTTCAAAAGAAAAAAACTATATTAAAAACCAGCCTGAAAACAGAGTAACGACTAAATGAAAACAGCAGGAACTTTAGAAAACATTTGATGCCACAGAGGTACACGGAGCTTAAATTGCTCCTAAGAATACAATACCGGTACTACCGTCGTAATAACTAGAACTTCTTTTTTTTTTCTATAGCTGTTAAGTGCGCTGTTGTATAACTTCAGATGTCTTATATATGATTGTAAATAACATCACACTAAAGTATTGATAGATAAAATACCAAATAATATCTATGTTAAAAAGAAGCAGATACATACAAAGATATATCAATCTTAAGTACTGTACAAACACTTGGAAAAACAAAGTTGAGAAGTATTACCTACTTGCGTTTTGTGCTACTGTTGGTTCAATGAGGTACTTAGTTTCTTCGACACGGGCTGCTTTTACTATGTCTCATTTCTGACAAAAAAGGTGACAGTGTTTGTCCTTAATTTTTAGAGTTTTGTAAGCTGAAGACAGTGGTGAAAACCGCATTCCAAAATCATGTAAATAATTTAGATATTGATTTTCAGAACATGAAAAATTTCACCAAAATTTAAAAAAAAGGTGTAAAAAGACTGCGCTTGTGTTATATAGAGAACGTTGTGGAGAGATTATAGGTATTTA